TTTGGTCCAAGAGATGTGGTGCGATGTTTTGTCACCAGGAGGACAGCCTCCACCCTCTCCTCACCACATACGTTTAAACCCTTTTCCTGAAAAAAAATTTCTGCTGAAGCAACTGGCTTGGCTTGGGCGTATGTTCTTCCATTCGGGGTACCCATCTTGTCTAGCCCTTGACGCAGCTTTAAAAAAAATGCAGCCACTGGGTGCTGAGTGGTTTTGAACATGAGAGTGAACCTAAAGCTTTTGTAGCCACACGCTCACAGTGGGTACTGGTGGTAATGATGGTCATGCATTTGGCCAGTTCTGCTTTAGAGCCTCTGTTTCTCTGGTGGTCCTGCCTCTCTCCAATGCGCTTGTGAAGTTTGTTGCATCAGTGTTTGTACCGTTCCTTAAATCTTCCTCGTAGGAAATGCTGAGGTATTTCCAGCAGTAGCAAGGGAAAAGATTTCACGTCTTTGCTTACAGTTCTGTAATGCTTGTCATAAATGTATTATGGCAGCCTTCTAATTCTGTGGCAAAACCAGTAAAAGAGATGTGCAGCAGAAGTAGCTGCACAGGAAGTATGCAGGGCTGTTGAGCGCGCTCTCTCTCTCTCTGAGGTGTGGGTTTGTTGGTTTTTTTTCAAATTTTTTTACATTCTCTTATAAAATAAGCTACGTATCTGTAAATTATTAATGATGATAAATGCTGAGAAGGAACAGAGGTTCATTTGGCTGTAAAAGAAAGTGTAGTAGTTTCTAAATGATTGTGCTTCAAAAACCTTCTGTAAGGAATAGAGATTTGCAGACCTAATTAAAAAAACAACCAAAACCCCCCACCAAATTGGCTGAAACCGCCTTACTATGCTATAACGTAGGTGAAGGCAGGCTCAGAGGTAACCAGATGAATGCTAACCAACAGAAGTTTCACCCCTGAACAAAGAGGAGAAGGTAGAACTGATTCAAGTAAAATTGTGGGCACCGAGACAATGCATTGAGATAGCTTGAAATAGTTTCATACCAAGAGCCGTGGTCTACAAAGTGTGGTGCGGGAAGTAAACATTTTTTGTACACTTAATAAAGTAAATATTTTTAAAATAGTGGTTATTTCCTCTTCATCTCATCCTTTTTTAATTTATATTTTTTGTGTATGTTTTATAATGTGCATAATACGTTAGTACAGTAGTACATGTATAAAATTTTAAAACCATATAATAGGGGTGCATGCTCAAAAAGTTTTTACTGATGGGATGCATGATGAAAAGGTTTGGAGACCACTGACTTAAGAGGACAAGTGGGTATCATTAAAGTGAACCTGTGCTATTCATCATATCTGGAAGAAGCACATCTAGAAGGTCTTCTCTCTGTGAAAATTGTAATTGGGGTAGGGTTTTCTTAGCCTACCATGTTCTGTGCCACAGATAGAAAAATAAAGAAGGGAGAAATAAAACCGAGGCAACTGTATGAAGATGTCTGAGGGGAATCCATGGGAATTTCTGCTCATTTTGAGTATGTGAAATGCTCCTAGATGGTGCCTAAACCACAAAAACTAAACCTGCCCTTTTTATTATTACAAAGAGAGTATTTGTTGGGAAAGGCAATACCTTGTAGTAAATAAGCTAGTAGTAGTGGAAGAAATGGGCAGACTTTTGAACAGCTTTTTCAGGTCTAAATCAATAACTCCTGAAGCAAATGTGGTATATGAAGAAGGGTTTTTCATTTCTCATCTCATTTCTCATCCTGTACCAGTTTCATTTAATATAGATGGTGCTGCCTCCTACAAAGGTTTACTTCTTTCTTTAGACTGTGAGACCTACAATGACACAAATTTTGTATGTCACACGTTTTGCAACACGCTAGGGTTTGGTTGCTTGGTTTGTTTTGTTTGCAGCACTCTGATGTTAAACTCTCTCTCAGTGCCAGAGAGCTTCTGTTAAAGGTACAAACGAATACACATGATCCAGGTTTGCTATCGAAGAAACTTCAGTTTTGCAAAAAGCAGGAACAGTGTTTAAGCTATCGCCATCAACATTATTCCCTTTGTGCTTTCATGCACAAACTGTCACAGTTTCTGCACAGTAAAGCAAACTTTTACTTTGAAAACCTTCCCAAGTGATCCCATTCTGTAGCTAAATTGATCAACCAGTGGTTCTGCTGAGGCATGCTGAGGAGGTATGGAAAGAAGAGAAAATGAGAAAAGATAGGTGTTAGCAGTGAATGACTCCATGCGTTTGTTTGTAACTTTTTTATTGGGTTACTCTTTTTATATGGAGGGGTATTTTTCCAGAAAGGAAAAAAAATCCAGGTGAAATCTGTAGAGAGTATTTGAAATTAAATAAATAACATGAAAACACTTCTCTTCCCTCTGTCTGTTTTCAAGCAGCTGCACGCATCGTATTGATCAGGGCAGATTCTGAAGAAGAGGCCACTGTAGTCTAATTCAGTAATGGAAGTAGCAATGGCTGCAAAATTTTCCAGAATTGATTCTTATTTTTACAAGATTAGGTATTTTAGGAGAAAAACCTATAGACTTGCCAGTGTTAGGTTATTCACTACAATTTACAGTAAACGGTTCCAGTTCTGCTTATCCCATGCCTTAGAATACAGAGGGGTTTGTTGGTTTTTTTTTTCTTTTAGCGTTTTCTAGCTTCACCTTCTGATAGTTTTGCCAGGTAGACTGAAAACAAAAATCAGTGATTTTTTTGTACCTATTGCCATTACATGTATTTTATGGTCTTGCAACTCCTTAGCTCTCTCTTCAGTAAATTAAATTGGCTTGCCTTTTGTGATATATTTCACTGAGAGACGTTTTCTAATTGCTCAGTGATTCCCATGCCCCTTTTCAGGTTTCTCTCGACACGCTCTTTCAGCAGGCAGCAGCAACTCTAGATGTGATACAACCGCTTTCCTCCTGTTCCTTCCTTCCTGTTTATACATCTGAGGTTGCAGGAAAGTTGGGGTTTTTTGGCCACAGCACCATCTTGGCAGTTGGTAGTCCACCATGACCCATTTGTCCTTTTCATTTTGTGCTTCCCAGGGTAAAGTTTTATGTTGGATAAGTATAGCCTCCACTCTTTGCTCTTAAATGAATGAGCTCATTGATGACCTTATTGAAATGCATGTTTGTTTGCCCCTGGCTGCCAGATGATCAGGTCACCCTGTACTGGTGCCCTCTCCATGTCATTATTTACCCTTCCCTCAAGCCTCGTGTCATCTGTGAAGTTTATCAGTGATACTCTGGTTTCTTCCAGGCCATCGATAAAGATGTTAAATATTTTAGAGTCTAGCATAAATCCCAGTCAGACCCCAAAATACAGCCTTGCAGACAGTTACATTGTGTTGCATGTTTGTGAGATGGTTCCATGATCTGGAAAGCTGGGATGTAGAGAGGTTTCTTAATTAAATATAATTTCTAATTTGTTTTTAAAATAAAATTATTTTGTTGCACCAAGTCAGAGAAGTTTCTTGTATCACTGCTCTCACCTTTGCCATCCTAGCTTCTTACCTCGTTGCAAAAATGCTTCCTGGCTGCCCTGGGAAAAGAGTTGGTTGGGATCGTTTCCCAGAAGTCCTCAGAGATGTGAAAACCTGGGGCTCGATTCTGTTTTTCTGAGTATTTATTTGCTTGTTTGGAGGTTGGTAAAATCAAAACTGGGTGTGGTGGTCTTGCAGCCAGGAGAGTTGTTAACCGCTTTTAAGAGTCCTCTTGTCATTTGCGTGGGTATGTGCACCAGGGATGGGGGGGGTCAGTTTGGAGTATGGAGCCGGTGTTGCCCATTTTTGTAATTTTTACATCTTTTTTTTCCTTACTTGGTGTTTTCCCACATCATTCAGCCAGCCTATCATGTCACCATTTTTACAAGCTATCAAGCAACAAAGAAGTGTGAGCCTATGGCTGCAGGGGGTGACCAAATAATTGAAATTGTAGAAACGAGAGTTTGCAAAGTGTTTTTTTGTATTTCAGTAAAAACTCGCAGCTGTTACATACAGCACGCACAAGACGTTGGGACCATGATTCCAGATTCCCAAGTGCAGGAAGTCTTGCGAGTGTGCAATTTGGGCATTAATCATCACTGTGCCTCACGCCGGCCAAGGGCGGTGCGAGGCGTGGTGCTGCAGTGCGGAGGCGCAGGGCTGGGCCTGCCACGGTTTGAGCCCCAGCCAGGCCTGTGTCCGTGGCGGGGGCCCGCGTTGTG